TGTTCATTGCATCAGGTGTAGGAAATGCAAGTTGAATTTGATCAATCTCACTTTCTCGTATACATAACTACAACGAATCTTACATAAACTACCAGCCTACTTTTCTTTTGTGAAAATTATTACCGCACAAGTCAGGAAAGGAATGCAATCAAGAGGGGACAAAAATGTCTAGTAGTCATATATTAGAATACATTCAAACTACATAGTATGCTTGAGTATACTGAAATTACACACACTCTCTTAACGACACGTCCTTTGATATCTCTTAGCAAGACGAATAGCCATAATCACTCACAGGTAGTTAGTAAACAATAGTTCACTCTATGAACGTAATCAATATAAATCAAAGCCTAATACATTCAATTCGGGACATTTAAGGTTAATGTAGAACGTACTGATGGCAAGAAATTTCTATCTGACTTACAGGTATAACGTTGCGTTTAACTAACTTTTTTTAACTTAAATTTTTATTTTTGAGATCATCTGAGAAACGATTTTGAAAGAACTGTCGCTCTTGTCAGTTAATCAAGTTATCAATAGTAAGTATATTTAAATGTAAGTATATTTATTTATATATTTCAAGTGACCAAACGATGATAATACTGACCATATTTTACTCTAATTACATTTTTTTATGTGTAGCCAAACCACAAATGGTGAGGTAAAGCGAAATTATGGTACATTTAGCACCGCGTCGCGTCGGCTGCACATTTAACGTGTACGTTAGGACTACAGTGCCCTAATGAATGCTCGTATTGCTCGACTGCTCGTGCCTACACATAGTTTTCCAACCTTTTTCGTGCTGCACCGAACATTTACGCCCTCTTAATGCTCACGTAATTACCATGCGTCTGGTAGATTTACCAAGAGCTTTTACCCTTTACAATATATGCGAATGTGTTTATTGTAGCACTTGCTAAAGCTTTATGAAAATATTTATGAATCTCTCAATGATCACTGTATTCTCCAAAAATATTGTCCATAAGTTCTCATGCTTATTTGTCGTCCTACATTCTTGCAAAACTATACAAATTTAACGAACTGAAACGGAAAATAACAATGGACGGACAGACCTAATATAAACATGGAATCAATGTAATCCTTCGGTATTTGATTCTGTGCAGGCACTAAAGTGCTTATACCTAACGAGCGGCAGGATGTTAGTCGGCTTATTGTAAAACCCGCTAAGGAAATTTTCCTATTTTTCCGCCGTGCAGGTGTGTCGGTGAAAATAGGTTTTATTCCATTTTCACCGATGCGATGGCGGTCGAGGAGACCGTCGCCGGTAGAGCGCTTATAGCGGAAAGAACCTAGGATTTATATGCTTGAAATCTCATATTATTGGACTTTTCTCCATCCGAGGTATATTCTTGTACTTTGTTCATAGCGTTGCAATACCCTCGGTATTACCTACCTTGTTAGTTGTTTACCTACTGTGATTGGCGGTTATCATATTTTTTTATGAATACACAAGAAATATTTTCTAAAAAGAAAGTACTTACGCTTCTTAAGATAGCCTAGATGAAAAATTATTTTCATTTGAGATGAGAATAAATATTTTCCGAAAAAGTATCAAATATTCAGTTAGCTTTAAAAAACTTCGATTAAAAAAACGATTATATTTTGTTCGATAAGCAATCAATCAATGACATTTAACGTTACCAATAATTACAATGAGTTACACAATCATGATGCTTATTCAAATGGCAACAATGCATTCAGAACAGAGTCTCCACTTCCTATTGCTAGCAATCTTATTTGGTTCGAGTGCTATATTGATTCTCTTCGAGGCATCGCGTATTGTTTACTAACCATAAATGTTGAGGACGCACCACGTTCTTTACCGATGCCGATCGCATCAAAACAAAGGAATGGTTTCACTTTCATCATCAAAAGTTGTGCCCATTATCAAATTCATGATGCTTTCACCATCATTAGGTCAATATTTACCAAAGATCACTTGGCCATTTCGTTTTCTGTTACGGTCATTCTTTTGTAAGTATTCTTTTTTCTACTTTTTTTAATGAGGCGTTGCATTTGAAATACATAAGTAATTAAGTTAATCAAGAACTGAACTAAAGAGATTCAGTAGAAAACTAAGGGAAATAAAAAAGTGTATTTTAAATATAGAATATTAGATAGATACCACTTTATTGTGCAGACCACATTAAATATTACACACAAGGATTAATTGGTTGACCGAAAATTTTGTTATCAAATATTTTGCGAATGAATTTTTTATTTGAGGAATATCCCATAGTTATGAACTCCGTGAACAAAATATAAACTTCAGTACTAAATATATAAACCAGACGATACCGTTGCTATCGTAGTATGGACATACGAGAGACAAGATAGTGTAGTGATAGTGTACTATATTGATTTATTATATCTCATTACCAAGAATTTTAAGTACTGTATGGGTTCATATCGTGTTATAGTTCCTCATTATATGAAAATGATGAAATAATCACTAATATTGTAAAGTGAGAGGGTTTATAATTTAAAGTTCATGTTATAGTTTTTGGCACGTGAAATGCACCAGAAAAAACAAAAATGAAGTGCCTTAAAATTCTTATTCATTATTATTAGCCTATTAATCGCCCCACTGTATTGGGGCAGAGACCTATCCCTATGGATGGAATAAGGATATTGGGCCATGACTCACCACGCGGGCCCAGTGCGGATTGGCGGGTGCTAACGACTGCAGATGCAGCCAAGGCCAACGGCTTAACGTGCCTTCCGAAGCACGAAGAATCTCCAGATAGAAGATTTTAGGTCACCCATCCAATAACCGACCACTTGCTTAACACGAAAGTTGCTTAACTTCAACGATCGCAGCCGAACGCGCTAACCAGCTGCACCATCGAGTTCCTTTTGATTCCTATTAAAGACAATTAATACATTAATCACAATAAAACTATTAAAACATCTTCTGTATTTTTCAGCTAAATTATTCTATATGAAATTCACCCCTTTTAATTAACGTAATGCGAGTATCATCATATCAGATTTTTAATAAAATTCTTTTTACCGTCTATTTGATAGAAATTACCCTAGACTAGGCATATAACCGAAGGTTTTCGAGTTGTTTTCAAATTACTTTGTTCCTGATATGAATATTGCTCCATAAAAGTTACTCGTACACCTGCGCTTCCTGGATGCAGGCCATTCATACTTTCACCTATAATATTCACAATCGATTTCATTCAGGCTACTTCATTTTTTAACGTGTTCCAAATGTATCTACACATTATGCATGTTCAAAAGCGAATATTTTGTGACAGTAGTTTGTTGATGAAACTTGTTTGTAATCGTTGATATTTTTAAATCTTATTTCTATTAACAATGGATATAAAGAACACACTGAACGTTTTCAAATGTAAAGTAAAAACTACGTAAAAATTTTACAGATAAAAGTGAGAGAGATGAAGCTTTTTATTTTCGTATGTAAATATTAGTTAATCGATTTCCCTTCTGTTCGAGGTGATCGATTTCATGTGAGCTATGTTATTGGTCTTAATAAATCGTAATTATGAAAACTTTTCAATTTGGATATTATTACAGATTCCATTGTTAATTAATATTCATACTGTTATGGCACAGTATTGACAAGTATGACTGGTTTGGTCTGTTATATGTAGATAATACACGGAAAATTATTATGCTAGTTTTGTAATGTCGTTAAATATGTATCATTGCTAGAAGCAGTTAAGTATGTATTCTGTAACAAGCCTGTTATTTCAGAAATGGGAAATTGTAATATTAAATACTATGTAGTTAATGGGCATTCAAAGATAAAACTAAATTAGTTAAAGTTTTTTAGGCATTTACAATGACCTTGTTCATCGAGGTTTGAAAATTACGATCCAGTCAATCATATCCTTGTTTAAAATGAATAAAAAAGCCATTGAATTCCCTTACATTCCCAGTAAAATAAAAACAAAATCGATAACATTTTATCACTGTTACTTATACGATGTTCAGGAAGATTCTTTATATGGACAATATCTCTTTAGATAAGCTACCACCTTATTTATTCATGGCTCCGCATAAATTCAACACGGTAAGAAAATCTGTAGTTTATTCACTCATTTTTGAAAGATGAATCCATAAAGTTTGCTTTTGTATGATTTATAAGTTTTTTCTTGTAAATTTGTAAAAACTTGCGAATCCAATCCACCCCTTTAATTATGAAATAGCTTCTGCTTTTCTGTAACGGTTACCCATTTGTTTTTTATTACTTTCGCTGTCGTATAAATTATTCTTTATTAAAAAACTTTTCATTCTTAAAAAATATACGTTTTGTTTGAATTTGGCAATAAAAATAATGAAAGCTTTATAAAAACAATTGTAATTTTAGTTAAAGTGTCTATGTTATTGCCATTGTTGTTCTTTTTAAAGCCATAACTATATCTGATTAGAGCTTAAATTAACAGATTTTATCTATCCTATAATCCCATATCATGCATATTTTTTTATAGATTTGCACCACTATCCATCACCATAACAAAATACTAGTTAAACTAGATTTTGTAGCATTTCATCATCATCAGCATATTAATGTCCTCACTGCTACCCTGTACCAGGCCTTCGCTATGGATGGAATAGGGATATTGGGCCGTGAACGATCATGCGGGCCCAGTGCGGATTGGTGAGTGGGACCAACGGATTAACGAGCCTTCCGAAGCACGGAGATAATAAGCTTTTGGTCATCCATCCAATGACCGGCCATTGCAAAAGTTGCTTAACTTACACGATCGCAAGCCAAACGCGCTTACCACCTGCAACATGGAGCTCCTCCTCCTCCTTCTAGCATTTATTATTATTAAATTATTATTTACCTAATTATAATTTTTGCAGAGTTTTTTTTTACTTTAAATTGTAATCATTAACATGGAAATTAACTTTACTTTTTGTTAACTATTAAAATTTTATACTTGTACTTTTATAGCTTGAATTGCAATTTGTAACTAAGACATTTTCTAAATTTGTTTCAGGTATTTTGGGACAGTCCAAAAGTGGTAAGGGATGCTGGATATCTTAAACGTAATACGATTAGCATAAAACTACCGTTGATTTCTGAGAGACGGTGAAATCTGAGTTGGACTCATCCATTTCGGAACCTACTTAACATAGCCCGCTGCCCGATCGAAGTAACGAGTCAGGCAACAGGATACATTTTCAAAAAACAATTTGGGCCTGTTCCTTTTTGTACCTTTTTTATTCAAAAATATGAGCAGTTAAGTAGCTAACTATCAAATGCAATATATAGGTAAGTAATAATTTGGAAAATATTTATATCATTTCAGTTTATTGACAAACATAAATAATGTTAAATGTAATTAGAAAATAATTTTGGTAGAATCTTGATTGCTATGTTGATTCTCAATAAGCAATTCGGAAACTTTATAAATTCAAAATGTTATGGCAAGTAAGTAATATTTTTTTCCATCAACTTTTTTATACTCTTCGTTGCGTTTCTGAATGTTTGACGAGAGAGGTGTTGCTGCAAAATTCAAAACGCAAATAACAACAAAAAACGACGCTTTATGAAAAAAAAAAGGTTTTTATTTGTTTCGCGACGTAACCGCTTTTCTAGCGGTGCGGCAATGCTTTTTGCGTTTTACAACCGAGCCTCATTCAGTGACGCAGTGCTCGCGTTGCATTTTTAATTTAAAAGCACGTGAAATTTATTACAGGTTCAAAAAAGGATTAGATATGTTTAAATTAATGATAGTTATGGACTACCGTTTAAGATATTATGTTATTAAGATATTATAAAAAATAAGAGATACAACTGATAAGTTTTCTTAAACGTAATGACAGCGTAAGAAGTTGTCACTATAAGTAACTTTCATGATAATGGGGAAAAATATACTAGAACTATAATCATAAGCGATCGTGAGTAACTTATGTAATTAGGTTCTTATCTATGAGTAACATCGTATTGCTTCGTTCGATGCCATTTTCTGTAAAAGGGAAAATGTTAAGATGACAAATTTGCGAGATAAGAAGCTTCATGCTTTTTGTTGTCATCTGTTATCCACAATTAGCTCTACGAGAACTTTAGGAACGAAAGGAATAATTCCGATCCACAAACTATCTATCAATCGATGAAACACATCGTTCGTTGCTTTGTTGACGCAGAAAATATCTGTTGTTGCTGGCGCACGCAAAGTACCAGATACAAAATTCGAAATGCATGGCCCATGAGATAGAGCCTGTTGACAGACAGATGGACAACGTGCAAATGCTAGCTGAAAAGCACTGCTCTGAATAGTGCAATCGCTTGCTAGTAGCAATTCATCACGACTTAAAAAATTACCTTAGGAAATTTATTAAAGGCACGCAATATGACAGAAACGCTTTATGGGTAACATTTCCGCTGTACGCCTATTTGAGGAATTCCCCTTGCAAGAGTTTCTCGTCAAGCCAAATATCAAGGTCCGTCATTGTTTAAATGGCAAGCCATTACATTAGATTTCCCGGTTGACCGCCGCCGAATAGTGTACCTACTGCTAGCCTCGATAAATTTCCCTCCTAAAGTTATTTAATGTCACAGGTCAATAGTGAAATAAGTAGGTTACATTCACCATAGATTACCTATTGATATCGTTTCTAATCACTCTGACATACAATGCCAATTCTGACTCTTCGACGTTTATTATAATTATAGTTTTATGGAATTGTTAGTGCAATTGTCTCTGTGTTTTGTTGTTTGTGGTTGATTTTGATGAATTTCTGTTTTGTTTTTTTATAAATTGTGTAATCACAATTTTTAAATACATCTCAGTTAATAAAATTTAAAAATAAAGTAAAGATGCATCAATAACTGAAATATCGTGTACCTATGGAGAATTCATCATTGTCTGCACTGATCATTAATAAGATGAAGTTTAAATTGTAGCACCAAATCAGCTAACGCGATCATCACCAAAATTCTAATGACTCGACCCAAATTGTCACGTGAATCTACGGAGTTGTAATTACCCCATCGTTCGGAGCCATTTGCCTAATACAAGGAAATTAGAACTTTCTAATGCGGTCCATTTTGCAAACTGTAAACTAATGAAGATACAAAGCGATTTGTAGGTACTTACAATGAAAACTTTTCAGGTTAACTTCATATTTAGCGGAATTATAAATAAATTTCAAGAAAGAAAGAAATTTCAGTGTTACTTATTGAAATTTGAAAAACTAGTTTTAATACAATCAAGATTGCTTTTTTCTATTGATCTTTTCATTGATCGGCTTCTTGCTTATACGTGAAAAACTTGAGTTTTGGTGTATCAGCAAACACTTTTTGATTTGGTTTTCAATGTACTCCAAGCAGTCAAGACTTTAGTTCTTTTTGTATTAGGAATTATAAATTATTAAATTGAGGAAGAATATAAAAAAAAAACATTAACATGAAAAATATTTCGGGAACCCTGCTCAATTATGAAAATTCTATCAATTTACGTTCGCTCTGGTAGGCGTAGTGTTGCTATCAAAGTTTGCAGTTACTTCTCTAGCTCGGGCGTAGTTTAAAATTGGTATTTAAAACCGCCAACTTAAGTTGGCTCCAGCCCGAAACTTGCGAGTGCTCAATAACGTCGTCAATTAGTACGTCACTCGACGTCTATGTAGAACGCTTTTCGGAATTAGGGATGTACCTCGTAAAGAAAACTCTGCTTACGAGCTTTATAGAAAAATCAAACTTTTTTCGTGAATTAAAATAAGCTTAGTTAAATTGGTTTAACAAAGATTCCTTGTAGTTTGGAATTGTGATGAGCTTTTTTATTTAAGTTGTTTATCCTTACTTACGTACCTATATAAAAGATCCTTAAAATTATGAAATACATTTAGCTTTTTTTTTAGTTTTTGTGTAAGTATTTAATAAACTTGGGTATGACTGTCAGTTAACAAGTAAAATATGAGTGGAAATTTAGTGATATAAGAAAATCATTCCGGTTATTTTAAATGCTTGTTTAATTTTTGCTGTGTTCGATTAACAATTACCACCCCTAGGCTCGGATCTCGACTCGAACGCGACGTGGGTACTTAGGTAGCGATTCCCATGTGGTTGACTTGTGTTGGCTGCGCCCGACTTGCGCTGAAATTTATATTGCTACTTCATCTTCTAGGAGTACTAAATCCTAGTAATCGAGGGTGCTAGTAATATCATACTACATGAGTAAATAAGGCAGAGAGGCAAAGCTTTATGTAGTTCGCGTGTATGCGTGAGCACTGGTGGCAGTGTTGCCGACGAAAAATTGCAGACGGCAGTGTAAAGTCGACAAAAAATCAGTGTCATAATTGCAGGAGTTAAATCTGAGGTCGGCCGTGTCCAAACTTAAAATACTTAAAAAACTTTATTACTTTCAGACAGGTGTGTATTGTAAAATATGGCGCCCCAGGCAAATTGCGATTTGCTTATAAAATTCATCAAAATCCTAGAATTCGATCGAATACACGCACAATTACATGATTGCCATAATTAAGTATGCATTGCCAGCTTCAATTTTGTTTAGTAAGTAAAGTTTGCTAAAAGCCGTAGAATATGCTATAGCCGATAGCGGCCGTAGAACACAGTTAATGCTGTAGCATTGGTAATACTGACTGGAAGCCTGTCGCCGCCAATAGAAATGTTTCTCTCCGTACGCGATATGCTGCCAGTGCTCATCACTCACGTGCATTGTTATGGAGCTTTGTCTTTTTGCCTTCTGTATTCATATGATACTCTGCCGCGGTGCGGGTGCGCTCAACCCAAGCAATTATTGAGTGCACGCGTTTTCTGTAGATGTTATCTTGCTGCATAATTATCTAAGCTTGAATTTATTTATCACTTCAAAAAATCCGATTGAAAGTGTAATCAAGGATAATTTTGTTTCTTTGTTTCAATTATGTACTTATATGTTTTGATTGTTGTCTGTTTTTAATAGAAGGACTAATTTTGATCATATCGAAAAGCAATTAGTGCCTTTTTAGATTCAAAGATAAATACTCAGTTATTTAGAGATATTTGTTAAAGTTAGACATTATTATACTTGCTTAACATTACCAGAGTTCATAAGCGTTACATAAAGACACTTAGTAATTAATTTCAATACAGCTTTATCATTATTAAATGCAATTTTGAATATGAGATAACCAGACTTGAGTAAATAATAAACTCAAATCTAGCTACCTACTCTGGATTCTTTTTTACGTTTACATAACAATTCACTAGTACAGAAAATACTGCTGAATTAAAAAAGATTCTTATTTATCAAAGAGTTTATACGTAATTTTTATTAACTTAGGTGATATTTACAAAAAAAGCTTTATCATAGTATGCCAGGGAAAAAGGTGGAGTGATTTTTGCACCATAGACTTTGTTGGGCGGGTGTCTAGGCGGGGTCGCCGACCCCTGTAATAACTTCCGCCTACCTGAATCGTCAGCCTACCTAGGCTTGGGCAGCGCTTTCTAAACTGAATGACGCTGAATTATTAACTTTGGAGACACGGATTTCACTCGTTGAGATCGGGTTTTATTCTTCGCTTTATGAATTTTTGCAACATGAATGGTTTACATGACAATGGTTTGTTAAAATGTAATAGATATCGTTCACAGTGACATTATATCATACACTACCATAATAAATGGTGAGTTTGAGAGGTTAGCATGAAGGTGACCAAACTACGGCTACGAAAGAATTATTAATTTTGAGTCAAAGTGGTAACAATATATATTAAGTTTTATGAAATTTATTAATTTTATTATCTAGGTGCACTGTAATAAATGTTTTTAAGATGTAAGTATATATACATATTAAGTACACAATGTATATAAGTTTTAAGCCACGGGCATTGGTCACTAAGTTTTGGCCTTAATATCAGAAATCCTAAAATAAATGACAGCCGTAGACGTTTCAAACACATGATTAACATTTTGTCATTAGTCGTTTTGAACTACGTGTAGATTTACGTACTTTCCATTTTTAATTCAGCAGTTGACAGTAGTTGCTAATAGTTAAAATCATTTTATCCGCAATGGCTA